CTATTAACCCTGTCAGATGTGTAGCTGACAAAGATTTGCTCCTACTCTATGGCCTTCCTCTTCACTCGTCTGTTTCCTTAGCTGTGCAGAGCTCTTTAGTTTTATGAGGTCCTGCTTGTCAACTGATTACCTTAATTCCTGGGCAAATGGAGCCCTACTCAGAAAGTCCTTTTCTACACTTATATCTTGCATGATAATGCCTAGGTTTTCTTCTAACAGATTTTAGCATTTCAGGTTTCAAACTGGGATACTTGATCCACTTGAAGCTAATTTTTATGCGAGTGATAGATACTGGTCTTGTTTATTGATGCTTCTGCCTTTTCTCCAGTGTATGTTTTTGGCCTCTTTGTCAATGATCAGATGGCTATAGGTATATATACCCATATTTGGGTCTTCTATTTTCTACACTGATCTAAATGTATGTTTTTGTGCTAGTACCATGCTGGTTTTTGTTTTGTTTTATTGCTTTTTGAGACAGGGCTTCCCTGTGTAACTTTGGGGCCTGTCCTGGAACTAGCTCTTGTAGACTAGGCTGGTCTCAAACTCAGAGATCTGCCTACCTCTGCCTCCCAAGTGCAGGGATAAAAGGCATGTGCCACCACTGCCATGCTGTTTTTATTACTATAGCTCTATAATATATCTTGAAATCTGGAATGGTAAATCCCTCTAGCACTATTAGTTTTGGTCAGGATCGCTTTGGCTATCTGGGGTCTTCCCTGATTCTGTATAAATTTTTGGATGCTTTTTATTTCTGTGAAGACTGTTACATGTATTTTGACTGGTATTGCATTGAATCTATAGATGGTCATTTTCACATTAATCCTAATAATCCATGAATATGAGATCCTTCCATTTTCTAATGTCTTCAGTGATTTGAAGTTTTCATTGTAGAGGTACTTTACCTCCTTGGTTAGTTTTAACCAAAATACTTGTCTTTGAGGCTATTATAAATCAGAGTGTTCCCATGATCTCTTTCTTGGCGTATTTGTTGGAGGAGTAGATAAAGGTGTTACAGTTTTTTCTAAGTTGATTTTGTATCCTATCACTTCCATGAATTGTTGTTTCTAGAAAGTTTCTTTTTAAAATTTAAATAATGGCTGTAGATCTTTGAAAGTCAAAGTTGGAGAGATAGCTGTTTTTAATTCTTTTGGCCTATGCTTGTTTTTTGTTTTTGGTCAGAGGCTTATTATTACTGTCTCAGTCTACTCATTTGTTGTGTTTGGGTTATTAATCTCTTCTTGGTTTAACTTTGGTATTTCAATGCTTCTAGAATTCCAACTTGATGGAGTGCAGGTTTTAAAAGTATTCCCTTATAATATTCTGAATTTTTTAGTGTCTGTTGTCAATGTTTAATTGTTCATTTGTTAGTTTGGAGCCTCTCCTTCTTTCTTTTGGTAAGCTGGGCCAAGAATATGTCAATCTTGTTTATCATTTCAAAGAACCAGCTCTTAGACTCATCAATTCTTTATATTGTTATCTCATTAATTTTTGCTTTTTTATTTCCTGCTGTCTACTGGATTTGGGTTTGTCTTTTATTTTTCTAAATTCTTGAGTTGTATCATTGTCATTTATTTGTGCTCCTTCTGGTTTTGTCTTGTTTAGAATGTAGGTACATAGAGCTATGACGGTACCTTCAAGAACTGATGTTTTGATGCATCCCAAAGGTATTGTTGTGTTTTCATTTAATTATATAAACTTTGAAAAAATTATCTTGATTTCTTTTTTGGAAAGTTCATTGTCCACTAATGAGTTGTTTGATCTTCATGAATTTTGCACATAATAGAAATTTGCTTGCTCTCAGTTTTAAGTTTCATTGCATAACAGCCAAATAGAACACATCAAATTATCTCAATTTTTTTCTGAATTTAAGATTTGTTTTGCATCCTAGGATGTGGTCTATTTTAGAGAAGCTTCCATGGGCTGTTCAATAGAACATATATTCTTTGGTGTTTGGGTGGAATATTCTGTAGATATCTATTAGGTCCTTTTGATGTAAAATGTCCAAGGTTTCCTCATTTTTGTCCAGACATCTATTGGAGAAAGTGAATTATTGAAATTATCTACTGTTATTGTGTTGGTGGTATTAATCTATCTTTAATTTCAGTGGTATATTTTTTTATGAAATTGGGTGCACCAGAGTTTGGTACATGTATGTTAAGTATTGTAATATTATCTTGGTTAATTATTGCCTTGATTAGGAATGAAGTGCCCTTCTTTGTCTCTTCTATTTAACTTTAGTTTGAAGTTTAATTTTGTCAGATATTTAGATGGCAACTCATGCTTCCTTTCAGTCCTATTTTCTTGGAATACTTTTTTCATCCTTTCAATTTAAAGTGGTGCCTAAAAGCAAGTTTCCTGTAGATAACAAAAAGAAGAATTTTGTTTCTCAATCCACTCACCTTGCCTATGTCTTTTGATTGGAGAATTTAGTCCATTAGTTTTTGAAGTTATTATTCAAAGGTGTGTATGCTGCAGTAATTTTGTCGGCTTTTTTGCTGTTTCTTAGTCATGCTTTGTGTTTAATTATAGCTTCATTTGTTCTCTTCTTAGAGGCTCTTGGCCATGTGTATTCCTCTCTTCAATCTGAAGTACTGCTTCCAGTATTCTATAGGATCATTTTGGTAGACATGAAAGTATTTTGACTGTTTATATCACGAAAAGTTATTTTTTTTCTCCTACCATTATGTTAAATAGCTTTCCTAGGTACAATGTTGAAGGTTGGCCATCATCGTCTTTTAGAACTTAGAATACATTGCTTCAGGCTCCCCTAGCTTACAAAGTTTCCAATGAGAAATTAGCTGTTATTCTGGGTGGTTTGTCTTTCTGTGACATGTGCTTTTTCTCTTGTAGCTTTCAGCACTTCTCCTTATGTATATTTTAGTGTTTTAAGTGTGATATCTCATGAGTAGTTTCTTTTCTGGTCTTGTCTCATTGATGTTCTGTATGCTTCTTGTATCTGCATATCTTTTCTTGGTTTGAGGAAGTCTGTTTTTATATTCTTGCTTAAGATTTGGTCTATGCCATGACTTAGGATTTTTTCTTTCTCATCTATGCCTTTAATTAGAAGATGCTGTCTTATCATGGTATCCCACAGTTCCTGCATGTTCTTTTCCTGTGTTTAATTTTTTTCATGTTCTTTGCTTCTGTGGTCTAATTCCTTTGCCTTCAAGACCTGATACTCTACCTTCTACTTAAACCATTCTGTCTTCATTTTAGTTTGGGTCTCCAATGCTTCTGTCTCTTTATTGAATGTCCTTTTCAAATCCTACAAACTATTAAGAGTGAGTAGACATACAGTAGCTTTTACTTCCAGGGATCAGTTGTCTCAGAAACAATATCCTTCATTTATGACATTTTAGGGTTCCTTCTAAGATCAAATCGGGTACTGTGGACAGGAATTGTTGACTTCATCTGTGCTGCCATGTGGCTGCATCTCCCTAATGTAGTCACTTATATAAACCCTAAAGTCCCATCTTAAGACAATGCATTCAACAACACTCATTTAAGATGCAAATGCATGCCACAGAGCACAGCCTACTTCACGTTTAAACACCAGTAAGAGTAGGATGGGGAAAATTTGATATAAGAAACATTTACTTTAAAATAATTTCATAGGGAGTATTTCATTCAGAAGAAAAAAACAAACCAGGTGGCTTCTGGATGTCTGTGCTATCCAGAGCACACACAGATATGAAGGGCATCATTCTCTTCCCACCCTAAGTTGTAAATATCTGGCCAGGGTACAAAGTCTTATTTGAACATCGGCCTCAGATGTGTGGACTCATGGGTTGGTGGCAGGAGCACACTTTGCTTCATCTTTCCTAATAGTGAGTATCAGAAATCAGCAAACACTTCCTGCCAAGGACCAAAAAGCATTCATTTTAGACTTTGTGGGCACCATCTGTCCTAACTATCCAGTCTCACTATTGTTAGCAAAAACCATCCCCACACTATACATAAACAAATGAGTCCTGTGCTGGAAAACTTTCATTATAGAAACACATTTTTCTTTTGTTTTGTTCTGTTTTTGTTTTTTGACCTTTTGGAAGCAGTAGTGATGGCCAAAGCCGGCACAGCTTTGGGCATGTGGCAGTGGGGGATGAAGAAATGGCAGACACGTGTACAGAAAAGCTGGGATTATGTGGGATATTTTCTGTGCACACTGCTAACATCCATACTCCAACCGGAGGAAGACCTTGCCATTTTCAAGTGTTTGAAGCACTGGGTTCCTAGACAGCAAGGCTCATGGCGGGAATGCTCATTTATACAGGGGTGCATTTGCTGCCCAAAGATGGCACTGCCAAGTAAAATGCTGATGAATAAAAGTGCCCAAATTTCAATTTTTTTAAAGGATTGACTTTAAAACTGCCAAATTAAATGCTATGGGACACCCACCCACCATGGAGGGAAACAGCAGAGGGAGAGAGGGAAGAATAGATAAACAGCAGCAGAAAACACAGAAAGAGGGTGACTTGGGGGGATCTTGTGGTTTGATGGTATGAGTGAGGAGTAAGCGGATAATAGGGAGACTATGAGCAAAGTATGCTATATATCTGTGTATGGAATTGTGAAGGAATAAAGAAAAACATGGTTGGAATTCAGTTCAAGAATGATCACTTGTTAGTATAAAGTTTTACTCCATTTACTTTTATAAAATTTTCAAGAGCTCAAAGCAGTGTTTGATGAATGTCCTGTCATCCCCACTGGGTGATTTCTCCAGCTTTGGCTGATATGGTTGTTTGTTGGGAACCCCACTTTTCTTTCAAGGAACCTAGGGCTTCCACATCACCACATCATCAAAATTTCACAGTGAAAACTCCCTTCTCTTGGCAGGTAAACATAAGACGTGAAGAATACTAAAAGGGACCAGTGGCTACCACAGTGGCCTGAGAGGAAGCCCGGTCAACATCGTGTGAACAATCCTGCATTGTTTTCCAAAGATGCTGTTGAAACCGTCTTAATTAACACAGCTTGCCTCCACTCTACCAAAGCTCTTCATCATGGGCTGCATGAAATCAAAGCAAACATTCCCTTTTCCTAACACATTAGACAAGCTACATGAGAGTGAAGAAACCTTTATGCCAGATGATAGCTGTCAACATAGGACCCCTTCTCCAGGTAAACCTGGAGACCAAGAGGAAGCGAAGAAACTCCCAGAGGCCAGTCCTGTGGTCCTTGAATTTGCAGAGCGTCTGGCCAAGGAAATCGTGCAGGATGCCTTGCAGCAGTGGGCATGCGAAAACATCAAGTACTACAACATCCCATACATCGAGAGTGAGGGCTCTGACACCACTATTGGATGATGCCACTTTGCTGTGCTCTGAATGTAGTTGGTGCTAGCTTAAATACATGAAATAAGTTTGAAAACTCCAACTGGATGTAAAACCATGTCTATGATAATATTAGTGTAGGACACTTATGATGGAATATAATTTTAAGCAGTCCTATGTTAACATCCATGCATATCTGCTTGATCTCAAATTTGGGTCACAGAATGGATAAGCAGAGGTCTTGTGGCACCCAGCAACCAGCTGTCTGTCATAGCATGCTCTTCCTCAAACAGTAATGGCATCACCAAAGAAAATGTTGAATCAAAAGTGCCCAAGTTCCAAATGGTTATTTTAAGGGACTGACTTTAAAATAACTATTTCTGTTATTCTACACCAAAAATAAGCCCAGAACATGAGTTTCCTTAAAATGCTTTGAAAAGGAATGGATCTCCAGCCATAGTGACCCACAGCCTGTCAGATTGTCAACACCATTTGAATCAGGGACTGCCCACTCACTTCCTGCTGCCTCTAACCTACAATTAGAAAACCATCAGGGAAGAGGGTCTCCTTGAAGGTTGTTGCTCTTTGGAGGAAGCTGAATTTGTAATTGAAAAGGATAACTATCACACTGAGCCTCAGGGTCATGTCACAGCTGTTACTGGATGATTTAAACTTTGCACATTACAGCCATCTGTAAAGGATAATTTATAGAAGTCATGACATTACTTTATGACATTGAAATAAGAAGTTCTTCAGTACCTTTTATCCAGTAAGTCTTAAAAATGACAGAAGTCTAGTCTGCAGGGTGAAAATCTGAGCCTAGTGTCATGGCTAACCATGGGTAAAGCCTCCCTGCAGTGCTGGTACAGGGATGTAGGAACAGACATTCAGGGAGCTGTAATTTTCCTGCATTACAGAGCGCAATAGAACACTCCTCCCAAGGGGACAACCTATGTGGGATTTAGATGTCACTCGTGCTTATAGGGCACTTTTAGCCATTAGTCTCCTCCTGAATGGAGCACCTGTGTGAGATTTAGCAGTCCCAAGGTACTCTTAACCATATATTATAGAGAGTTTTCTATCGTAAGTACACACTTTTTTTTTTTATTTTTAAAGAACTCAACCATATAAAGCTCAACAGTAAGATAAGGCTTAGTACAAAGTCAGTAGCAGAATGGAGCTGAGTGTCTAGAACTGTCACCAAGCTGTGCTAAACACTGAGTTTAACTAGACAGGAAAACAGGCCCATCTGCACCAGCCCTTCAGTGACACTGTTTATCAACATACTTGAAATCCAAAACCATTGGAGAAAGGCTTTTGGTATTGCTAATGAGATAAACAGGTACTTGACTGTCAATAGTGAGAAACGCTGCCTCTAGTTTTAACATTAATATGTTGAAATACAAGCCAAATAGTGTGAATCCTCCAAGTTTCAGCATTAAAGGGGTCATTATAGTGAGTGACAGGCCATCTTTCAATTTGCTTTCAGACACCTGATCTACCATTCTGCTAATTTCACTAAGCCCTGGGAATCACAGCACTCCACTGCACTTGTAGTCCAACAGCTCACAGAGCTACAAGCAACCACTCTGATTCTACAGCACACTGCACATAAGTCCCAATGTAGAGCACTTTCCATAAGTACAACCTCTAGTTCATGAAGCAGCATAGTTTCCAATGTCTGTACTGATGATTCAGGCAAAAGTCTAGGTCATGAGTTTTTCACTCATTTGTTTTTCATATGAGGACAGCTATTGCAAGAATTTTTGTTATTTAAAATATATAATTAAATATATAAAATAGTATGTATGTTGTTCAGAACATGGCACAATCTACACAGGGATAATGGCAAGAGGGTTTGGTTATATGTGAGTATTTCAACTTCAGGTTTCTTCTTTGTCCCATGTTGATTCCCCAAGGGTAGAACAGGGGTGTCTGCCAGGTCCACATCTAGGTAGAGGTCTGCTGCCTGCTGATACACCCTTTCAGGAACTATAATGAAAGGGTTAACATGGAGCAAGCTCTGTGCTCTTACCCTGAGTCAGGCTTTGTATGTCAGCCCATGAACAAGGAACAAGAAAGAGTTGAACAAACGTAATACCACACTGGATAGTTATCAGGATATAGTTTGGACTTCATGAGACATCTCTGATAAAGAATCTGCCTTATTCATGCCTTTATACGAAAACATCTAATCCTCTTTGAGGTCTTTCATTGAGGAGGAGATGACTGAGGAGGATGAGGGACTCAGAAAGATGGATGACTCATTAGCTACTGGACAGGGACATGTGGGACATCAGTGCAAGGGCAGAGGGACTGCCACCAGCATGCGGCCTCCCAGTGGCAACTGCAGAAACACATCAGTGAGGGAAACAAATGTGCCAATTCTTTCCTTACTAAAACTCTCAAAATGCCACAGTATTTTTCACTACCCCCCTGTTGTCTCTTTGGTACTGTTGCCTTTGATCCTACAATTCTCCCATCTTAGTTGCCTTATCAGTTGTTTATTATCACTTAAAGCACAATTTTCAAGGGGAAAAACATGATTATCTTAAGCCCAAAGGAATTTGTACTAAACTGTCTCATAAGCACCAAAAATAAATGCACAGAAATAACATGATATGCACATACTATTAATTACCATTGGCATTTGGTGAGATGGGACAGTACGTTCTACATTTTATTATTTTAGAAATCAGAAGCTAGACATGTATAAATGATGTCAAGAAACAGTAATGCATATGTAATGTCTATACAAATATAGTATCTATGTGAAATGACCCAGCAAGCCATGTGTTTTTTCCTAGGAGCCACAAAAGCTAGCTCTAAAGAATTAGCTGCTACTTTACTCACAAACCCAAGTTTTGTTAGCAAATTCCCCTCACTGTAGGAGTTAACTCTGAAGTGATATATATTTCCCCAAATATTTTTGTGAAAATGTTTTCTTTGTAACTATAATAAAAGTCCAATTGCAATTAGCTGTCAGTACTTACTTAATTGAAGCAAATACTTGTTGATGTGGTCCACTGATGTTGCACATAAAGACTTCTATTCTATTCTGTATTGCTAACACGCACCAAGTGAATGAAAGTACATTACACAGGCAAGCTCTTGGGTTACTAAGGTCTAATTTAGGAGCTTTAAGAACATAAATGTAAAACATGGTCAATACCATGGTACTAGTTCAGACATGTTCTGTGTTCTGAACTGTCAGGATGGAAAGTCCTGCATGTTAAATAGATTAAGAGCTGAGAAAATGTAAAGCAATACCCTGTGGCTGGAGCCTCCTCCTCCGTGGGAACATGGCAGACATTGGGCCCAATGTGAGCCCAATGCAAGTCCAACTTGAGCCCAATGCTCTTGTCAGTTGTGTTGGTTTTGTTCTTACCTCACATTCTCCTAGTTTTTTCAGGAGCCTCGGATGGAGGAGAAATTATAACAAGATACAAAATAAATGATTAGCTGATTCTAATATAAAATTATTCTGACTTAAACCTGTCAGGGGTTAGAGAGCTGGCTCAGTAGTTTAGAGCACTGGCTGCTCTTCCAGAGGACCAGGGTTCAGTTCCCAGCACCCACATGGTAGCTCATAATTGTCTTTAACTCCAGATCCAGGGATCCAGCCATTTCTTATGGCTCTGCAGGCAAAATATGCATACACAAAAAATATTTGAAAAATTCTGCTGACTTCCAATTACTAAAGATGTTTCTATTTTAAATTGCTTCTAACTTTTCATATAAAGGTTTGATGTATCTTATAAAAAGCAAGGCCGTGTCTTTCTTAGAGATGAGTTTAATTCCTTATTTTTCCCAGGTTAGCAAATACTGCACATAACAAGAAAAATGCTTTCATTTCTGCTGGGGAGGTATGTTCTGATGACCCAGGGAAGGCTGAGTTAGTAGTGTTCTGGAGTTGGAACTTTATGCAATCTTTTTCTTTTCGAATAAAGTTTTTCCTGTTTACAAAGTAACTCTTCTGCTACAGTGTTCTTTTAAATTCACTCACATTTTTTAAAGAAATGTTTATAAAAAATTAACATACCCCCTCCAAATTTCAGTGTCTTTATTTTTGATAAACTATACATAATTTGATTAACATATAAACTGCCACTGGAAGCTAAAGTCACTATTTTAATGAGAGATAATAACTCAAGACTCTCTGGAGCTCTTGAGAATTTCCCATCTTTTGAACCAGGACCCAGCAAACCATTTCTGAAGATCACAGTAGACACTTAAGGCTTTGAAGGCCATACAGTATTCATCATGGTGTCTTAATGTTTCTATTCCTGTGAAGAGACACTTGGACTATAGCAACTCTTATAAAGGAAAACATTTAATTGGAGCTGGTTTACAGTTCAGAGGTTTAGTCCATTATCATAATGGTGGGAAGCAAGGCAGACATGGTGCTGGAGAAGGAGCTTAGAGTTCCACATCTTGATCCCAGGTAGCAGATGCAAATGTGTTTCACTGAGCTTAGCATGAGCCTAGGAGACCTCAAAGCCCACCCACACTTCCTCCAACAAGGCCACACCTCCTAATAGTGCCACTCCCTATGGGGGCCATTTTCTTTTAAACTATCCATGGCCACTTCCAATAGCCATAGATGACAACAAGTACGGCTATGGAGTAAAGTTCTATAAACATTAGTGTTTGAGCTAACTGTTGTCTCATGAAACACAAACACTGGTGTTTAAACTTCAGGTGACCATCGTATCATAAAATGTTAGTCTTTTCATTTCATTTTCAATAATTTAGAAGTCAGAAAACTATTTCCTGTTTGCAGGCTGGATGAATATGGGCCTCAGAATTTCAAATCACTGCTTCCCAGAGATTTAAAATAACTATTCAAATCTTCATCAGTAACTTCATTTAAATTGGCTGGTTTCCACTTTGGACTCTGGTCTTTGTCAACAAGAACTGTCAAAAGAAGGCAAAGACGTTAGCACATCTTTTTCTGTTAGTATCAGATTTAACTACTGAACTGGTAACTGTGTCTTACTAGGCACGGTTTTCTATAGCGCATTTTTCTGCAAGGTTTATGCATTTAGTAAAACCTAGTGAAATAATCTGACAGCTTAATCATATTAGAGACCGCTAAATCCAATATTGGTACAGATGGGAGGGGAGGCAATGGAGGGCAGAGGGCCCAGGCTTTGAGAGGAAAATTAGTACTTGAGGTAAAGGAAAGGAAACTATAAACATAATTAAATGTAGATGTCATTTTACCAAATCCTGTAGTATAGATAGCTTTGCATTAAAAAAAAAAAAGAATCAGACCACTATCAGATAATCACAACACCTTCTACTCCTATTTCATTACAGACATCACTCAAGGTAGCCACATAGGATTCTAAACACTTCAGAAAATAAATAGAGAATGCTTATTTTCTGGCGTTGGTGCACTCAGTTACACATATGCTATTCAGGGTCCTGGATGGAGGGAGCTCCATATTGTTTGTGACAAGCACATGACAATCTATAATTGCAAACAGTTAAAAAAGCATGGTTATGGTAGCAAATCTCAGCCATGCCTAACGTATATAACTTTAACAAAGAATGGAAGTGGGGGGGTGGGGGAAGATCCATGTTTGCTCTGTTGCGGCTGTTTGGTGGTGACAGTACAAGAAGTGAACCTTAGGCAAGCATTCTGTCATTAGCCTACATTCCTAGTCTTAAATATATAAGCTCTATAGAAAAACCCAAATTAAGTACAGTTGGAGCAACAGTCTGGGGACCAAGGAAGAAGGATGCCTTTTATTGCACGGATAAAGTTTTATGTACAATTAAATGTAGACACTGGAGATGTGTCTGTTTTTAATTTTGTTCTGAGATGGGAGTTTCAGGTAGCTGGGGACTATAGGCATGCAGTCAGCTTTGTACTGGAGGCATGCATCTGTCTACTGTGGGAAGCAGGTCAGAAATGTCTGTGATCCCTCCTGTCTGAAAGCTTCCATTTCCTAGTCAGTGAAAGACTAGTCCTGGGGCATCCTTTCCTCCCACAAGGCTCCCTCCATTAAGAGGCTGGCTGGTACTATCCACCTCCTTGGGTAGAAGGGCACAGGAATAAGCACTAATCAGATCTGGCTTCGTTCCTGCAAGACAGAAAGTCCTGCCCATTCAGGAGGCTAGGCTCGTGGGAAGGGGAGCTTCTAGCCCTTAGCTTTGCTGGCAGGGTTCACTTTTATCTTCTGTAACCAAAAGGGACTTCATCCTAGATGTTAAGATTAAGGATGTTTAACAATCATCTCCCTAATTTGCTGACACAGTGTTATAGTTGTAAATCGCAGCAAGAATACAAAACAGTCTTACTCCAGCAGATGCTACTAAGAGTCTAGGCTGAAACAGGAGGCAACTGTGCTGTCTCACTATGCAGCTAGGCCTGGTCATACCAACACTCAGGAAGCTGAGGCAGCAAGATGACAGGTTTCAGACTAGCCTGAACTACACAGTAGAAGGCCCTTTTTCAATTTTAGATACAAAAGTAGTTTGATAAGCAACTGCTTTGGTTTTGTTGTTATTGTTGATGGGTTTTATATTGTTTTGGAGACAGGGTCTCTCTATGGTTATGGCTGGGGGGGGGGGGTCACAGAGATCCGCCTGCCTCTGCCTCTGCCTCTGCCTCTGCCTCTGCCTCTGCCCTGGGATTAAAGGCGGCACCACCACACCTGCCAAGCACTTGCTTTGTGATTCAACATTCTGATGTTGACTAACTTCAACTCCATTTTCATAAAGTAACTGAAAATATTTATCTAAAACATCTAAAAATGTCTTGCATTTGCAAAGGGACCATGATAATATTTAACAAATACTTTGGTAACAACTCTAAAGCAGTATGCCCCAGAGTGGATTCTGATCTGTGTGCACGAAGAACTGCAATTAATAGGAAAGATGCACACTTGTTTTAATTACACAGCCACCCATGCAGACCCAAGCCCACGTGTCTCCCAAAATGGCCTACACCTTATGCTTAGTTATGATACGTCATACTACAAATGAGAATTCTACAACAACAGAAATTTACCAAGTCTCAGGGTGTAGAAAACATCACCTTGTACTCAGAGAAGTATTTCTGGGGTTGAAGAATATAGGTAAGTGGTAGAGCAGTAACACTACCACACACACACACACACACACACACACACACACACACACACACCACACACACACAGTGTTCGTGCTCTACTAAAATAATTAATAAAAACAAGAAAATTGGCTGGGTATGGTATGTTTGAGAGACAGAGGCAGGAAAAGACATGAAAAATTTATGCAGAAGGAAACAACTCATTTTATATATGGAACAACAGCTCTTTATGAACACAAGAACTACACATAAAAGGAATGGCTACAAGTTTGCTAGAGGAAAACAACATAAGCTTTTTCTAAATGTGCTGCCTTGAGATGAGTGAAAACATAACATACATGCTCTCCAGTGATGCTACCTGCTGAGACACCAGGAGGTGGGCAGTGGGTGCAGACACTACCCGTTCATAAGGGGACAGTACAGGGAAGGAGGAACAGCTGAGGGCTTCTAGTCAAGAATTGATACCCCTTTCAAAAGCAGCGGGGCATGTTGACAAGTTCATAGGGTAGGCCCTGTGAACAGAGGGGGCCTGGTCTGACACATGCATCAGAGAACAGTTCCCATGAGCACAGAGATGGGGTCTGACATACACATCAGAGAACAGTGCCAAGATGTGAATTCGAAACATTGGTTTTGGAGACACATTCCCATATGAGATACACACACACTAAAACAGCCACTGAAGATAACTGAGAATCCACAAATCCTCTTCCTGAAAGTCAAGAAGGGAGTACAGATACCTGTCACTTACCTGCTCTAACGCCTTCATGAAAGTCATGACCTTCCTGAAAGAAAGTCAAGAATGAGTGGAGTAACTCTGGCACCCTTTTCCTATGTCCCTTGCTCTTCCACCTACCTCAGCCCTTCATTCCTATGGCTACAACCTTGACCATGGTACTCAGAGACTGCACCCCTCCAGGTAGCCCCCCTCAGACCACCTCCCAAATCCATTGGCTCAGGCAAGCCCACTGAGGCACATCTTAGCTCCTCCTCAGGTCAGTGCAGCCTATAGCTCACCCCACCTGTGCTGCCTTTCTGGTGCTCTTTCTCCAGACCAGTCTCATGAAGCCACTGATATGGCCACTTGGTCTGGAAAATGTTCTCAGCCCTCAAACCTTTATACTATTGCAACAAATTCCCTACACTAGCTGCATCCTCAGCTACCTACTGAAAAATCATAGGAATGTGAGGAATTTCATAATTCACGATTTATAATCATAAGTCTCACAGGCACAGAAAACAGCCCATGATCCATGACCTCTCCTCATTGTCAAGGTAATGTTCAAAACTATTTTTGCCTTCTCAACTTCTTCTAACTCACTCACTTTATCTCCTCCACTGACATGAGACCCCGCAACACACACACACACACACACACACACACACACACACACACAGACACGAGGCTGATACAGACTCCAGGCTTTTCTCTCCCTTTCAAACCAGGAGGGGGAGGGGATATCTCCCTTTGGAGGGCCAGTCATGCCTGCATTCCATTCCACATCTCTCCCCTGGCATCACTGCTGGAGGCCACAGGACTAAGTGGCTGAGGACATGCGGTTTAAGTGCCTGTGGCGACCAAACAGTGACTGTGTTGCCTTGAATGTAGTTCCCTTCATAAAGGTGGCTACATCAGTAGTTCACCATGGGACTATTTTAACCTGTCCTAACACAGGGGCACACTGAGTGTGCAGTGCTTGCAATGTGCTGCAATCTTGTGCCATTAGTACACCTGCAATCCCCTTTCTCTTTGGATAATTCCCAGTCCTTTATGATATCTAATATCATAAAGATATTATCTAATGATATCTAATATCTTCCATCTTACAAATAAACCTCATCATCCTAGATTCCATTGCAAGAAGAGAAGGCTGTATACATACATACTTCTCATTTCTTCACAGTCCATCTGTTGCATTTCCCCTCCAGTTTATGGCACTCTAACTCTCAAGTGGCTTACCAACTCACTGATTATAAATTTTCCTCTTACTATTGTCCTGTTTCACACAGATTTGGGTGTGTTATGTTTTTATTCTCAATTTTAGTAATTTATTTTATCTCCTCAGTGATCCATTTATTATTCAATAGTGTCTACCTTAACTTCTAAGACCTTGTATATTTTCTATCATTGTTGATATTTAGCTTTATTCCACTGTAGTCAGAAAAAAATACAAGGAGTTACTCCAATTTTCCTTTATTTGTTGAGACTTGTTTTGTATCATAATATGTAGCCTATTTTTGAGAAAATCCCATATGGAATTTGGGAAAGCTATGGAAAAGGAAGTATGTGGGTTCAGTGCTCTGCAGGTAACAGCCCCATCTGGTGTTTAGTCCCACTATTTTTAGATTATTTTTAGATGTTGTGTCCTTTAATGACAGTGGGATATTGAAGTCATTACTAATGTATTGGGGGTAATCATTGGCTTTATGTCTAGTAACATTTTCTTTATGAAATTAGATGTGCCAAGTTTGTTATATATGTTTAGAGCTATAATGACCTCTCAATGGATTGTTTCTGATAAGTATGATGTGACCTTCTTTGTGGCTTCAGATTAGTTTTAATTTGAAGTCTCTTTCGTCAGCTATTAGGACAATAATTCCTGTCTCCTCACTGTTGGCTTGGAATGGACACCTGTGGCCATTCTCTCACCCTGACCTTGTCTCTCTCTTTGGTAGTGACCTATGTTTCTTGGAAGAAGCAGAATGTGGGGTCCTGTTGTAAGTCCCACCAGCTAACCCATGTCTTTGACTAGGGAGCTGAAATCACTGACAGTTACTTCTGACAGGTGTGTCCTGATTGTCACATGTGTCAGACTGTTGGCTTTGTGGTGTTTGTTTTCTTAGTCCCCCTTGTGTAACCACCGACATAACATGAAATTTCCCCCACCACCTCTTATTATGCTTATCTTTCTCTTGGGTCTGAAGTGGCTTGGTGGTCACAGATTACTTTCACATGCTTTTGTTGCGGGGCATTTTCTTTTGTCTTCAATTATGAAAGACAGATTTGCTGGGTCAAGAGCCTGTGTTGGGATCTGTGGTCTTTCACTGGTCCAAGCCTGTCTGACTTTAAAGGTCTGCACTGCAAATTCTGCTGCTATTCTGATAACCCACCTTTCTTTGTGACTTGGTCTGTCTCTCTTGAAACATTCACTGTCCTTTCCACACTCTGTACCTTTAGTGTTTTGGTGGTATATGATGTGGGGATCTGTTCTGGCCACATTTGTATTCTGTATGTGTTGTTCACCTAAATGGCATCTCCCTAGATTTGAAAAAAATTTTTCCATGATTTTATTGAAAATATTTTCTATGCCTTTAAACTGCTTTCTTCTTCAATGCCTATAATACTGAGTTTGGCCCATAGAAACTGAATGTTCTCCATGATATTTTTAAAGACTCATCATTTTCTTGGACTTTGACCCAACTCCTTTAGGCCTTGATTATCTGTCTGCCACTTGTTTATTCTAGTCTGAATTTTACATGTTCTACAATGAATTTCCTAACAAGAAAATAATAATACTCAGTATAAAATTCTTACCATGCATGCTTGAGTTAGCCGGTATTCCATGGTCAGTACCTCTTGCAAGGTCTTTGAGGAGCCTTCCAGGAGCTGCCTCAGGGTGATTTTCAGAGATGTCGGAGACATTTTACTAATTACCTTTGGGGAAAAATATTCCTCATTACCCAACTGCTCCTTTGCTGTATGTAATATCCTGGTTAAATTCTATATAAGCCAGAGTGACACTGTGCTTTAGAACTTCTTCACATTCCAAAGACTCATTAAAAACTGTGCCTCAGCTTAGCCCTGCCAAAAACGTGAAATAACAACATTCTAGCCCACCACAACAATGACACAGACCACTCCACAAATGCAGTAAACTTAGAGTCTAATCAAATAAACCTTATTTAAGTTTGCCTGGCATAAGCTGAGATTACACAGAAGCAGAATACACATTATAGCAGGGACATCCCTCACAAATGTCAAAGCAGGAAAAGAGAGCTGAGCAACCAAGAAGGGAAGGAAGGAGTTACTGACCGCTCTGACCCCAGCTAGTGGGGAAAGTGCTAAAAGAAAATAGGAAAGGGAGGGAGTAGGGAGGTAGCAGCTGTGATCTGGATGTGTCTTAACTGAAGTGGGCTCTTCACTGAAAAACCTGGACATGGAAAACAGCTCATGACTAACCTTTAATATGAATTAAAAAATAAGAATGCCATACCTAATCCTCCAGCTACAATGCCATGCGACTTGTTCTAAATTTAAAGATCCTATTACTAGTGTTCCAAGTCACACATATGACTTCGACCACCTGGCTGATCCAAGAGGCCATCACATACCCAAAATCTCCTTTATAACTGCACATACATTTTTCTGGTTGATTATTGATTGAATGGCTCAAAGGTTTAAACTGGGTTCAAAGAATTCTCATCTCAAATTCTGTATTTTTTAAATTTGATTTTTTTAGTTTTGCATATGTGTATTACTTGATTATAGTCTACTTGGTTTCTTTTTATCCCCATTCCCCACTGAGCACTCTTCTTCCAACAAGCCACATGTCCCCTCTTCTTTATCTGAATGGACAAAGGCATTTAGTCAGGGCTGCCTGCATGCAGAGCATAACGGGTAGGGGTGGGGTGGGGGGAGGACTTGAGCACAGTAATTTACCAGTGGCTACAGTACTGAGGAATACTACTCCCCTTCCCTGGCAACTATTAACTACTGATAACTCCTCAAGGAGTGGTGGGGCCTCAGAAGCTCCTCCCCAACTGATGACAGAATGGTGATAGGTCCAGTCTTGTACAGGTCTTGTTCACGTAGAAGGTTCTGTGTCCTCTGTAACATCCTCAAGTCTGTCCATGCACACTCGAGGAACAGAGTGGAGAGGACAGGATCTCACTTAGCCCTTGCTGAAGCTTAGTGCTTGACTACTACACAGGAAAAAGTGTCAGCAGCCTACTCACAACCGCAGTGCTGGTGAAGAGAGGACATGATAGAACGCCTTTATGAGCTGCACCCTTGAGAGGGTAATACTTCTGAGTGAGGGCCTTCAGGACACTGGTCCACATTCTGGTGCCTATTAATAGGAGTTCTGTTCCATGGTCTTGTTTGATGGCTGCAAGCAATGAGGCTGAGGACAGCAGCACAGCAACATGTATGTACCATGTGCCACACTTGGCAGGCATACAAAGGGACCAGTTTGCTGGCATACATACCCCTTCTTTCCTCTAGTGAGAATGGACCTACATTATCTCAGGGAAGCACTTGAGAGCACGTCACTATGCTAAAAGGCATGTTTAAACACAGCCCCCTTCTGCTTTTCTAGTCTCCAGAGACAGTCACCTTCCTAACAGCCCCTGTGGTGGTCAAGCCAGCACTCGTTCCCCAGCACTTCACTACAGTTCACTGCTCAGTTTTATTTAAAAAAAAAGGGGGGGGGTGCTTCCCCTTTATGTATGCCCTCTGCTGGCTACCAGTTAATAAAAAAGGCCACTTAAAGTCCTATTTACTCCTGCTTGTTACATGCCTGGAAACAATGGAAGACACTTGCTGAACCTGCTGTTTCATGGCCTATGAACTACTGAATGGTACTTGCACACTTAGAGGAGGAGTATCAGTGTTGGGTATTGAACCTGGATCCTCTAAAAAAGCAAGGGTGCCCTTAACTGCTGCCATCCCTCCAGGCTATGAAGGGGAAATTTATGAAGCACATTTCCCTTAGAAGTTAGAGAAGTACTTTAACATGTTTAATCCCACTTTGTAAAGGGGGTAGTAAGATCATTTCATGGATGAGGAAGCTGGGCCTAATGCAAACTGGTCCAAGTGAAACCTGGAATCCAAATTCAAGGTTAAAAGCTCCAAAGCCCACTTCCTTCTTCTGTACAAAGTAACAGCCTTGACACCAAAGAGAAGTCCAAGGAAGATGACGGTGAGAGGGATACCATATTTTGGATTAAATAGATGTGACTAAAACCTGTCTGTAATTTTGATGGTAAAGAGAAACACAAAGGACTGTAGCTTAAGAAAGCCCAAGGAGAAAGCTTTAGATTTCTTCTTATTGTTTCCTAGCCTAATTCTATTTTTCTCCTTGCCCTGTAATGATGTTACTGGATGAGGATGCATAGAATCCATGAACTGAGCCAAGCAATGACTTCCCATTGTGGGGAAGAGCATCCACTCCATCAAGAATGGGTCTCTCTGCCTGAGTGCTTGGGCTCAGACACCAATACCCTCAGGCCTTCAAACCTGTCTTGGAATCTAATGACTCCATTTCTCTACAAGCAAGCATTTAATTTGTGATTCACAGTTACAAAGGATTAGCATCCATGAGCATTATGGTGGGGAGCATGGCAGTAGGCAGGCAGGCATTGTGCCAGAGCAGTGGCTGAGAGCTTACCCTTGATCCACAAGTATGACACAGAGAAAGTTAACTGGGAATGGCATGGACTTTTAAAACTTCAAAAGCCACTCCAAGGCTATCCTTTGTAATTCTTTCCAAACAGTTCTATAACTGGGGACCAAGCCTTCAGACACATGAGTCTATGTTCTCATTCAAACACAGAAAACAACTAAAATGCTTTTAGAAGAAAGAACAGGTAGGTATTTTTGCATATTGGGAGTAAATTAACATTTCTCAGAACACAGAGGAGAAACAGTTACAATATGCTTTGGTTCACTGGTAGAACCCCTGGCTAGTACACACAGGTCTAGGATTTAATCCCAAACACTAGGGTGGACAAAACTATTATAATCAAACATACTAACAGAGAAAATGTTAAAATCATATGATCATCCTAACAGATACAGAAAAATGATAAATTCTCATTTTATCTTAGAACAATAATTATAAAAAATCCTTGTAGGCAGCCGGGCGTTGGTGGCACACACCTTTAATCCCAGTACTCGGGAGGCA